ATAATTACTATTAAACATTTAATAGTAATATCTGGGCACATTTGAGAAATAGGACACAGTCTTCGATTTTCTTCTTGATATTAGATAGAAAGCCTTATTTCAAAGCTAAGCAGGTCATTTATTGGTCTGTGTTAGGCTATACCTAGATTTGATTAAGTTGATTTTTTTCCCCCTTAGGATCATATAGTAAATCCTTTTGGAATCTCTCCTCCTCCTTCTACTCAGGTACCAAGACCTGCCTATTTCTGGAGCACCTCAATTATGTCTGCTTTGACCTTGCTGCATTCTGTACCTGGATCACCCAAACTCTAATTCCCTGAGGTCAGGTACAAGCTACACTGTCAATGTCTGCTGATTTTTAACAGAAATTAAGACAGAGTTTTTGACTAAAATCTTAACCCAGAGGTTAAGTGAATGGAAATTTTAATTTACTTTTAGTAGCTTATTTTCTAAATCAGTCTGATTTTATTTTCTAATATTTCTCAGTTCTATTTCCTTTCCATCTCTATTATCAGTACTTAATTCAAATCATCATCATCTTTTTCATGAACCTTTGAAACAAACACGTAGCTAACCTCTTAACTTTTCTGCCATTTTTGTTGTCTTCTCACCCATTCTCCAGCTAACAATCATCTTTGCTAAGTGCTTTTTCTCCCAGATTTTTTCCCACCTCAGTCTTTTCCTTATTAAATCAATTGGTAATTTCTCCTCAGCTATGAGTGTTTCTCAAACTGTATTACATATGGAATCTTTTTAAAGGGGGAAAATTATTTCATATCACTTGTACTATCTTAAATTATTTCATTAAAAAAATCACTTATATATGTGTAAACATAAAACCAAATTCACCCTCTTTATGTTTAAAACAATACAACTATGAAAACAGAACTTATTTTCAAAAAATTGAACCAACCCGTACAACAGAAATTCAATTTGCAATGTTAATTCAGTGTGACAGTTCATATTGTCCTGAAACTGTAACACTATTTTTAGTGGCCACAAACCCTTTTATATACAAATGCCTGTGCTATATAGTGAGCTGTTGTATGGCTCAATTTTTCTAATTCTTCATTTCGTCTCTGGCATGAACACATTATTTAAATATGAAAGCTTCCTCCATTATCTTCGCATTAGTCCAGGACAAATGGCTGTTGTGCACCAAATACAACCAAAATGCAGAACAAAGATAAACACAGGCACTAGAAACTGATAAGCTGCATCATACAGGTCTCATATTATTTTCTTACATTTTATATTATTGTGAAAGTAAAAACAGAATTAAGAATTTTCATTGTTACCCCCCAGAAAAGGTTGACTTTGAGTGCTGTTTTCTCAACAATGACAAATACTGACCCATAGAATTTAGTCCAAAAGCCATGGAGAGGCATATAAAGTTCTAATGTGCTGTCCTTTCCTCATCCTTCTGGGCGCATTTGTGGGCATTTGCTGCTTCATCAGTGTTAATTACCTCGCCGGATTGCCTTGCCCCCATTCTATTTCAGCTCTCTGAGCTTTTGCTACATCATCTATGGCCCCTCCCCAGTTTTTTGTTTTTGTTTTTGTTTTTTCTATTTTTTAATCATCCTTCAAGATCAAGCCTAGGTATCATTTCCTCCAAAACAGCGGGCCCCAATCCCGGGCTGCAGACTGGTATAGGTCCATGACCTGTTAGGAACTGTGCCACACAGCAGGAGGTGAACAGCTGGAGTGAAACTGTGTCTGTGTTTGCAGCTGCTCCCTAGTGCTAGCATCACCGCCTCAGCTACACCTCAGATCATCAGGTACCAAAAAGGTTGGAAACTGCTGCTCTAAAACCATTACTAGAACTTGAGGTTGAAATGTATCTTTTCTCTGCAGACTAAGGGCACCCTGTGCTCATGTCTAGGCTGTCTTCTACCTTAGGACAGTGGCTCTGTTCATTCCCTCACTCTGCCATAATTCTCAGGAATAGGCATGGTACCAGTAGCTGGCACTCAGCCCAAGACCTGACACCCAATAGTCGCTCAATAAATATATAGTAAACTGAACCATTTTCAAATAATAGGCCCTCTCTGGTAACCACACAGAGTTGTTTGTTTTATTTGTTTGTTTCCAGTACTCAGAATTGAATATACTTTAAGAAGATATGATATAATTGAAAAATGCACTGGATTTAGAATCAAAGAACTTGAGTTCACATCTTGTCCTGTCATCTGTTCTTCTATGTAAAATGCAGATAATTCCCATTTCACACCATTTTTGCAGCTGTGCAAAATTCTGGCTTGTATTCAATAAATATTAGTTTCTTTTCTTCATTATTGCTTTACTTCTTTTTATAGCATTTAGTGATTTGAAATTATTATTACCACTGAAGCTTTGAATCTATATACCTCCTTATCACAGTTTGAGTTCTAGTATTAGTTATTTTTTCCAAACCGAGTTTCAAAATTACTATATAAAATAGATGACACAGTCAATCTTTCCTTTTCATCCTCATAGGTTATTTCACTCCCTTGAACTTATTTATATTTATTCAGAACATATTTCTTTTATTGCCGGAGGCATGAGAGAACTTCTGCTTCTTATTACCTGGAGAAATCTGTCTTCTTCCATCTTTTTGTAGTCTGTTTTCATCAGAAAGCATCTACTTTTAGAAATGTTTTCTTTTCCTGCATTTTATTATTGAATTTTCTTTTTATCTTTTTATATGGATATTAGAACTTATAACTTCAGTTCTTTTGGTAATAGGCTTAGAGCTTTCCACTAATGCAAAATTTATTGTAGGAAGAATTCACGTGGAGTTCAGCAATATGGAAAATTTCTCTAATCAGTGGGTTCCTAGATCTTACATGTGTTTAATAAACAAAACTGGAAAGAAAGTAGATGTAAAAGCAACTGAGGTGGATGTAGCTGATGCTGATAAAGAAAAAAAAAAAAAAGAATGAAAAGCCTGCATTTTTTCTATTATAGGATGAAATGGCAACTACAAACTACAAAAAGAGTTCCTAAAGAAAAATTCTTAGTCATAGGCATTTCTTGGTACAAGAAAATTCAAGCTAGATGGAAGACAAAAGCTTTATAGATATGGGAATAGCCAAATGATGAACTAAAACTACAGAAGGGTGTGATCAGTGTCACTAGTGACAAAATATCTGAGTTTCAACGTAACATCGTGAGGATAAGAATGATGAAATCAATTTGTCATAAAGCAGCAAGATGAGTCAATGACCAACAAGAGATCCCTATTATACCAGATTATTCTCTGGTTACGTGCCTTCCTAAAGACTAAAAGCAATGTGTGGCACAGTGCTTTTGTATTGGATTAAGGCTACACCTGTCTTACCCTGACTCATTTCACCTTCAACTTACTCTCTGAATTCAGTGCAAATTAAAACTCTGGTGCCTTTTGATGGACAAATTCATGACTAACAGGAAAAACACTCTGAATATTTGGAACCTCAGAAGAAATGCATTTGGTTTTGATTTTGCTCTGTTTGTCACAGTTATGAAGACTACCAGTTAACCATCTGGTAGGAAGGAAAAGAGAGCCTTTGGGTTCTGTTTTCTAAATTTTCTAAAGTCATTTGTGTTGGCAAATCTTGGTTAACGGTTATAAGTTTACAAGTACTGACCTCAGGCTCTTTTGTATCCGTGTTGCTTGCATTTGGGCCACAGTTAACATATGTTGTTACTAGAGACAGAGTACTGTTTGACAGCTTGCACAAAGAAGAGAAATTGACAGAACTATTTGTTTCTGCTTCTAGATCTCTTATTCCATATACCTGTTTAAAAAATAAAATTGTTAGGGCTTTTATGACATGTACATTTGATTTCATGATTTATAACTCATTCTCAGTGTATATTTTAACTTCTTATGAGGCTACTAATATTTATTTATATGTCTCATTGGTTCAAAAAGTTCTTTTTAGGCTTTTGTGTCAGCTACTGTGTATGCAAATTTACGTCTCTTGCTCTTGAAGAACTTGTCTCTTGGAGGAGAATATAAAGATAATTCCTCTAAAGAATGGCCAGACAAACCACAGACTTGGAGAAAATATTTGCAAAAGACATGTCTGAAGTCTTTTGTTATGTAGGTTCACTGACTGTAACAAATCTGTGGTATAGGAGGGAGAAACTATGCACGTGTGGAGTCAGGGTGTATATGGGACTCTCTGTACTTTCCACTCAATTTGACTGTGAACCCAAAACTGCTCTAAAAATAGTCTTAAAAATGATAAAGCCAATGCATCATGCTATGAAAGAAGAGTTTTAAGAAGCCCCAGAAAAGAGCGGGCTCATTCAGCCTGGTGTAGGGTGCTGAAGAACACTTCACTGAAGCAATGATTTTTAGGCTGAGATTTAAAAGACAAGGAGAATTTTACCTTTAGGAGGGTTCAAGGCAGGAATTACAGGTAGAGAAGAAGAATGAGGGAAGAGAAAGAGGGAATTGGGAGGGAGAAAAGGAACAGGAGAAGTTATTACATACTCTGTGAATGCCTTGTAATTCTGACTGAAATTAGAGCTTATAATAGACATAGGACTAGTGGAGCAAATTGGTAACTTTAGCTATGTTACCCATTTTGTCAGCCATACTGATGAATTTGTAGTCTCTAGAGAGTAAGCCATTGGCTGTTTGTGAAGAATAGAAAAACTAACACTTACTGTGTGTTTATTTAATCTTGTGGTTGTTGTTATGCATTATCACATGCAATCCTCACAGTACCCCTTGGAGTTGGACATTATTGTCTCAGTTTGCCATTGAAAAAACTAAAGCAAAGAGAGGTTAAATAACTGCCCCAGTTCACAGCTAATCAGGGGCAGAACTGAGACTTAAATCCAGATATCATGATATCAAAACTCACATGCCTTGGCCACACTCTGAGAAGTGGTGTGGGCGAAACATTCGATGAGGGAGGAAATGAATACATATCAGAAGTCATTGCTTATCTTTTGTTTTTCCAGATCTCTTTGCAAGGAAATAGACCAGCAGCTGCAATCAACTGCAATCCTATCACACTTTCATGATGTTTCCCTTGGCTAGAAATGCGTTAAGAAGTTTCAAGATTCGAAGCATTCAGCAAATTAGGGCAAGACAGAGCCACAAAAAACACTCCCCAGATTTTCATGACAAATATGGTAATGCTTTACTAGCCAGTGGAATCACTTTCTGTGTTGTTGCATGGATATTTGCAGCCACACAGATTGGAATAAAGTGGAACCTGTCCCCTGTTGGCAGAGTCACCCCAAAAGAGTGGAATGACGACTAACCACCACAGTTACTGTAATATAGAATTGTTTCAAAACCAATTTGTCATTTAAGCACTCTGCTGCTTGTTTAAATATAACATAACTGAAAAATTAAAATATATTTGAAACCTTTAAAATGTTTTTGACAGTAATCATTTTAGTGCCTGGAAGTAAGGCAGTAACTGTGGGTCTACATTACAGGGGTTTATGCGTAACAAATATTTGAAAGTAGAATTAATAAATCATGTATTCTTCTGGTGTAATGATTTATCCTAGGTATCCTTCAGTGGATATACACATATATGTACCTTATGAATTAATTTGTCTGGCAAATCTCATTGACCCTTCAGTCCTAAATTCCTTAAAACATATTCATGATCTGACTATTTTTCACAGTTTTCGTCTTTCCCTGGTCTGAACCACCATACTTTCACTGGGATTATCATAAAAACTTTCTAGTTGTTCTTCTTGCTTCTACACTTGTTTTCCTCCAAACCTACCAACTCTACTTCACTACACATAATCTTTTTAAAACACAGTAGCCAGAATGATCATTTAAAGTCATTAGCCTGGAGATATCACTCCCTTTTTTTAAAGCCCAGTGACTCCTGTTCACTTCAGAGTTAAAGCTAACATCCTTAGATGTTCACAGGATCCTTAAAATGCTGTAGTGTTCAGTTTCACTTTTGCAACAAGACTTTTCCACTTGCTCTTCTTTCTGTTTGGAATGCATTCCTACAGATCCTGTGTGACTCACTCCATCACACTTTTCAGGGTTTTGTTCACATGTCGTCTTTTCAGAGAAGTCCTTGACTACCCTTTTTAAAATTACTACCTCTACTTAGACCGGGCTTTGTCTATGCTGCTTCCTTACTTTATTTTTCTCCATAGCAATTTTCTTTATCTGGCATAAGATATATTGTATTGTTTATTGTCTGTGTGCAAAACTCCACAAACAGCTGGGGACTGTTTCTTTCATGACTTTATCCTTACAATAGAGACTGATAAATTAGGACTTCAGAAATTATTGGTTGAATTAATGAATTAATGGGTGACTTTAAATAATTCAATATCCCTGTTAGTCTGAAATAAGGAATTTGTTTACCACTGTGGGTGTGGGTTTACAGTTATTATAGGGGGGCGTATTAGTTATCTATTGCTATTTTACAAATTACCCAAAATATGTTGGCTTAAAATTTTATCTCACAATTTCTGTGGTTCAAGAACCTGAGGATGGCTTAGCTGGATGCCTCTGGATCAGGATCTTACACTTCTGCAATCAAAATGTCAGATAGGCATATAATCATCTCAAGGCAGAACTGGATGAGGACCTACATCCATACTCTCTAACATGACTGTCAGTTGACCTCAGGACCTCTCTGGACATTGGCTGGAGACATCAGTTCCATGTTATGTGGGTCTCTCCATTGGGCAGCTCACACTGTACAGCTGACATCCCTGAGAGTGAAAGAGGGTCCCCAAGAAAGCAGCCACAATCTTTTTATAACTTATTCTTTCAAGCAACATTCCATCACCTCCACTATTTTTTTTTTTCTTTCACTAGAAGTGAGTCACTAAGGCCATACAAAAAGAGAAGAGATTAAAGGAGGACATGATTACCTGAAGGCAGGGATCATTGGGGGTTATTTTATAGGCTACCTACCACAGTTGGCAATTAAGACCACCTCCTTTTCTTAAATTACTAACTTTAAGTGTCTTATTCTTCAATCTCAAATATATATTAATATCATTTTGCTCTAGATAAAGGATATTACATGTGTCTATCCAGTTTTTACCATGTAAAGTTTCTCTATGGTCCTTCCTAGGTTTAGAATTTCTAGGTCTTAGGGAACATTCACTCTCAGTTTTATCAATATTACTAAACTATTCCCTATAGTGGTCGAATAGTTTATCTTATCACAAGCAATGTGTACACCTTCCTTCTTAGCTCCTTCCAAGCTCCTCCTCAGAGTTCTCATCCATTTTAGTATTTGTTACTTTGATGAGTATGCAATAGTAGTTCATGTTTTAATTTGTATTTTCCTGATTACTCATGAGGTTGGACATCCTGCATTTGCTATTTTTTGTGTGTGTGACTTTTCGGTTTCTTTTGCGAATTTTCTATTCAGTTATTTGTCTTACTCATTTGTAGGATCTTTTTTTTTTATGTATTCTGTATACTAATTATTGTTTAATGAGAGAGGCAGAACAAATATGGGAATTAGAACTCGTATCTAGCTAAGCTGACAGAAGCCACAGTAACCCACCCCTTGTCAACTTGACATCAGTGCACATTTATTCTAATCATACCTATTTTTAAAATAAAGACAATAGCAAAAATGTACTTTCATCTAACATGCAATTTTTCCTCATAAAACTCACTACATCCATCCCCTAAAGTGGACACAAAGCCCCTTAGCCTGTGGAAGAGTGGCACTCTCATCTTTCATTTCAGTGGAACTATTGCTGTAATTCCTAGTAGAAGCTTAATACTTCTAGACCAGCAAATCCCCAAAACCATGGGAACAGGAAATAAATATTTCTCTAGTGGATCACTAGGGGTAATTTTGGAGAAGCTACTCCAAAATTCTTGATTCCCAGCCCTAAATTCTGGCTCTAGGAAGAATAGAACCATGTATTTGTTGGTTATTTATAGTATGTCCAACATCCTGGAAGATGCCTCAACCTTGCAAGGTGGTGTTATCCAACTGCTGTTGTAAGTAACACTTTTAAAGGTCATTACACCACCCTATTAGTGATGGAAAACATGGTAAGATCATTGACTCCCATAAGTATGAGCCCATTACTGTATGTCGTTTGCTGTAAAATAAAATTTCATGATCAGTATAAAAGCGCTGTCATGTACCATGGTGCTAAATAAAGGATTTTGCAAGTTCATGGATGAAGATATTCACAGAAAAGTCACAGGAGAGAAGGTATATCTACATTGTTAGTAACTGTGTATTCAAGTGAGAACAAAATGTCACCTTTTTCCATGATGGAAATGGTCCAATGAAATCAAACGGCTAGCTACCTGATTCTCTCCTCTCTCCCAAGGAATGATGTCAAATGGAGGTTGATCTGCTAGATTTGGCTCTCAACAGTGGCTACAGACAAACTAGCCTTTATGGGGGCAAGTCCACCTTGTTGAGCCCACACACATAACCTTCACCTCTGCTGTCATATCCATTTTGCCTCTGAGTCATCGTGAAAACTCAGAGTGGCAGAGTAAGAGAGTAAAAGCCGTGAGAATGGGCCATCTTGTCCATCTGATTATTAGATACTTCTCTGCTGAGTATCCTTTTTGTGAGTATTTATATGGTACATAAATGTCTTTCCATTCTGTGTTTATTTGGAGGAGTCCGTTTTTTCAGACTGTTGTCACCAGTTTTCCAATAGCATTTCATCTAATTCCTTGACCAGCCTGCCAAACCTTTAGCTGGTGCCCATGATAAAATACAGAATTGTACCTCTGGCCATTACGCATTCCAAGCAAATGAACAACTGTGTACTTTAAACAGCTTGATGTACTGCCCATAGAATATATTTTAAGATTTAAACAGAATTATTTGAGTGTGATAAATATGTTTGTTTTAGAGACACTCTATGATAATTCCATTATCTGAAGTGCTTGAGTGTGGATTTCTTCTATTTTTTTGGTTCTTGCAAATTTGGAATTAAACTGTATTGCTGAAGCTGTCCACTTTCAGGTATAAGCTTTAAAACTTGTCACTTTACTTCCAAAGTATACTATCTGTTAATCTTTCTTCAGATGTACAGGTTGGAAGTTCTAGAGAAGGATTGAAACTGGAGCTATTGAAGATAGGGAGCTATCATAGATTGCTGTGAAAACCACGGGAGTGAAAACATTATCAAGACAATGTATCAACAAGGAAGTAGAGATAGGGAATGCATGTGATATGTAATGAGTATTTTAAAACAATTACTTTCTTCCTTACCTTCACCCTGAATATTTTCTGATTTGCAATAAGGATTAAAGCTTACCTATTTAGGTTTATAAATGTATGTGTAAGTGTGTGGGGGAGAGGAGAGAGAGAATATGTGTGTGTGTATATATCTACAGCAGTTTTGATAAAGATATATATATATATATACATTATATATACACACACATACATATATCTATATGAATATAGTTAACACTCATATATACATATATTTTTAAGAGCATGGTTATTTTAAGTAATGTGTATATATATACACACATATTCTTTAAATTACTATATTAAAATTTTGTAGCCACTAGTTTCCTGTAATAAAATTTAGATATTGAATCTTAGTGTTTCTAATATTTCTCATTGGATCTTATATTCTGATCATAGGTAAAACACCAGATGCATGTTGTTTTGTTGTTCTCCATGTATCTTAAAACTAAGTTTTGAATACATTTATCAAATTACCAGCCACTACATAATTCTTACATTATCTCACACACTTCTTGGGAAATTACATTATTATGTATTATTACAAGGAAAATAGTACTCGACAGTTATTGCTTACATTTGCTTGCTGTCGGCAGAGGAAGAGAACTTCATTTTGACACAAATTTTTTAGTTTTTGGAAAAACAGGTATCAGGGCTACATGTTGCTACTAGGTTATGATTAAATATGAATAATAAGTGAAGAATTAATCATTAAAGTTTTTTACATCTATATACTAAGTTGTTAAAGTATTTAATGCTTTTCTCATGTGAAATTTACAGTAATTCTGTACAGTTTGTAAGCTGTTCATGTGCCCTGTTAAATAGATATACACCCATGATTATGAGTTTGGTTAAGTGACAGAGAAATCACTTGAAAATGAAGATAAAAATAGAATCCTCATCTCCTGGCTTTTGGTCTACTGCCTTATTAAGAATTTTGCCTGCTTTCTGAGAAAGGACAACCCTGATCTTATCCCAAGTGATGATGGTAAATTGATAAATAATTGGCATGGCTGCATGCCAACACTGTGAAGATTGATAAGTAAAAGAGTCAGGCTGGAGAACAGGGCCAAAAG